TTTGATGTCCTTAGTCACCCACGGCTTGTTATTTGGGTAACAATGAACAGTCTGAGCTGGAACAATGGAGTCGGTGCAGAAAGTTATGTAGTCTGTGATACACTCAGTAAGCCCATTGATGTCCTCGGCGTGAGGCTCACAGAGTGTTTCCCAGTCGGTCACCTCGAAACAGCCCTGTAGTTCCGCTATTGCCTCCTCTGACCACCTCTTAACAGTCCTGGTGGTCACAGGTTCCCTCCTCACAATTGGCACATAGCGGGGGGTGAGGTGAATCAGGTTATGATCTGACCTACCAAGTGGGGGGAGGGAGGAGGAGCTGTATGCATCCTTGACGTTAGCATACAGTAAGTCTAAAGTTTTCTCTCCCCTGGTGGGACAGTCCACATATTGTTTGAATGTTGGTAGTGTATTGTCCAGTGATACATGGTTGAAGTCACCCGAGATCACAATAAAGGCACTCGGGTGCTGAGTCTGTAGCCGAGCTATGGCAGAGTGGATAGTGTCACATGCAGCTGTGGGTTAGCAGAGGGGGGAACATAAACAGCCACCAAGATGACGTGAGAGAATTCCCTGGGTAAATAATACGGCCTGAGTCCAACAGCACACAGTTCAGTGTCCGGGCAACAACAGTGTCCGGGCAAAGGGGAGTTTTTCCTTTCTTCTGTCTCCAAGGGCTTGCTTAGCAAGTAGTATGATTTTTGCCGTTTCCTTCAATAATTATAGGGTCTTTACCTCCAAATGTGTGTATATATGTATACATATGTGTTAGGGGTGCAACGATACTCGTATCGATATTGAACCGTTCGATACAGTGCTTTCGGTTCGGTACGCATATGTATCGAACAATACAAAATGTGTAATTTATTTTATCAACTTTCCTTCTGACGATGCTGTCTGTGTTGAGCGCTCAGTGAATCTGCGTTCGACTACTCCGCCTAGGCTGCACTGTCGAGCGCAGATCCACTGAGCGTTCAACACAAACAGCAGAAGGAAGAGCGCAGGGCAAGCTAGCGAGACAGAAGTTAAGCTCTCCTGGCAACATGGCAAATTGAACCTCCCCCACCCTCATTCAGATCTGGCGTTTGGAATTATTTTGGTTTTCATGTGACGTATGACCCTGAAGGTAAGCGCGTCATGGACTAAAGTAAAACAGTATGTTGGATGTGCCACGCAATGCTCAATTACATGGGTGGGAACTAGTGTGTTAGCGCAGTTAGCTCGTTGACGTGTTGGCCGTCTAGCCCCACGCAGGGGTAGCTCGTTAACGGAGATTTGCCATGTTGTGGCGTTAACGTCATTTCAACGAGATTAACGCTGACAGCACTAGTGGGAACACAACGAATATGACTGCACATTTACGCCGGCATCATCCTAGTGCAAAGACAAGTGGAAGCAGACAAAAACAACAAGCATGCTTGCTACAAACTTTACCCGAGTCATTTAGACAGCCGTTAGCACATGATTCTCCTTATGGGGACCTGATATGTTTAATATTGTGGCGAGCTCAGACAAGGAGGAGACGGAGGTATCGTTTGGTCTCGCTTCCCGTGAGCTAGCCAGGGAGCACAGCCGTTTATTGACATCTGCAGAAGAACACTGCCGCTAGCTAACTGCTCAGCGCGGCAACCGCACAGCAACAACAACAACACCACACAGGGCACCCTCTGACCCCGGAAGGACACACCGTCGCAGCGAGAAGGCGTCACCCGTCACTATGGCAACATAAACAAAACATAACTGTACAAACAGAACCCCGAACAGCCCTGACCCGCTACAATATGCTGCTGAGAATATAGCCCAGAAGAAGCGTATAGTATAGCTTTTATTTTGGAAAGAGCCATTTCTCTGTAATAAACTCTCCTTTCCAAAGATGAGTGATTCCTCAATCAGATACAGGTGTTACCGCGCCAGATCCGCGTAAGGAAACCTCTGGCAGTTACTTGAAGGTTCCGTAACTGACTCGTAGGCCAAAAAGTGATTGTCTGCCAAAAACTGATTTCCAATGTTTCCGTGTATTTTTTTTATGTGTAATATCTTTACGTATGTTCGTAAATAGACTTCGGTGAACAGGGTTTACAAAGGGGTTATATATAGAAAGACATTTTTAATGTTAATGAGATTGTTTTTAACTGCAAAAATAAAGGTTATATAAAAGTCACTGCCAAAAACTGATTGTGGCTTCTACCTTGTTACACGGATGTTGTTTGTGGCTCAAGATGACTATATGTAATCCATGAGGGGTGCATTTGACATCTGTTTCATATATTATAGCCCAACAAGTTACTTATAGCAGTTTAAATACAAGCAATCAATTTTTGGCAAATACCGGAAATCACTTTTTGGCAGACAATCACTTTTTGGCACAACACCGGCAACAGCTTACTATACAGGTCAACTCCGCTAGCAAAAAGATCGAAGGAGGCGTAGGAAACTGCTTCACCGAACTTTATTTCTTCTCTAAGGCACGAACACCGCGTACAGTGGGCTGAAACAGTTTACTCACAGCGAGCATCGTCGACACAACTCTGGCTGTCGAGGGAGTTATTATATTCCTTTTATTTATTTTCTTGTCGTCTCTTCTGTAGCTAACCGTTACTTTTTCCCCATCTCCGCTCTCTCTCTTCACACACACACCAGGCAGTCCCGCTACACACATCCCGAATACATTTCCCATCAGGCTTCATCCTTAAAGGGCCATGCCTGTAACACAGGGCTTGCAAATTTTTCCAGTCGGGCTACCAAAATCTATCGCGTGTCCGCTTGTTTATCTTCCACATAAACCTTTCACAATAAAGCTCAAGATCCTGTTGAGACTTTTCAAAATAAACGTAATCATGTAAAAGAGTATGCAGAGTACTTACGGATGAGAAGCAAAAAAGAGCTGCCAGGTGCTAAAAAATAAACCTTAGATTCAAACGTTAGAACAGGCTTTTCCCCGCAGCACGCCGTGTAATAAATACTCACAAAGAAAACGGCGGCCGTTACAACTTATGTCTAAAAATGTATAGTTTCATGCTTTGGTTAAAACACTCGACTCCAGATACACGACGCCCAGCTGGAAACACTTTACGCAAGTCGAGCTGCCCGCGATTCTCAGAATGTACAGAAAATGTAAAATTTTTGTGATTTATATCGTTATCAGGACGATAGATGTCTTATATCGGGATATGAGATTTTGGTCATATCACACAATTAAGTATTCCGGTCCATACTTAGGTTGAGTTACACGTGTAATGACTAAAACCAACGTAACACTAAGACAAGTAGTTTAAAAGGTTTAGGAATGAAACAATAGTTTAGGTTCATGTCAGCATAGTCACTAAACGTAAAGTCAGCTAAACAGAATTACTTACTGCGACATATACAAAGACAGATGTTTGTAACAGTAAAATGTTGAACAATAACTTGTGATGTATGAAGTGTTATTTCCTGTTTCCTGGTTTTGGTATTTTTTTTAAGTGCAACAATAAAAAATGCCACAGAAGTTATGGGGTATTCACCATGGAAACGGCTATCAGCGGTCTACAGCCACAACATTCGAGTGACAATGGCCAAAATAACTACTGGTGACGCAAAGTGGTTGGGTCCCGTGTTAAACTTTTTTCTGTTTTTTGAAATGAGTTGAAATGAGTACTAATGAGACCGGAAATTGACATTTGAAAAGGTATTAAAAACATTAAAGAGTTATCAGGCACCCAGACCTTAACCATCAGCTATAAAGTCATGCTTTACAAGGAAATAACTTACCGTGTGGACAGGAAGGCAATCTGTGTACAAACGGGTCAGACACTATAGTCAGAATCCTCGAGCAAGCTGGCACAGATCTGGCATGTGTTGTATGTGTATATATATATCTCTATATCTAGCTCTAAACAAACACTGAGTGAGAATCCCACGAGCTGTGCAGTTATTCAAGCACAGACTCATCTAAATGTATCCAAATTATCTTAAAGAGTAGTTTACAGTTTTCATACTGAACCACGGTGTGTGTGTGTATGAAATGTTTGGGGGACCCATTCTAGCCAAAAAGTTGCTGCTGAGATTTATTGCCTTTGACCAAAATGTCACACAAACAGTCTGAAACTGCCTCTCTTTGAGCCACTACTGTTCTTGTGGTTACAAAATATTTATTGGTCACAAGGAAAAAGGAAGTTGGGAAGTAGTCATCAGTTAATGAGTTAACAGTAAAAGATCAGGAGATTTATTTCCATTGACCTTTGAATGCTTAAAATGCTAAAATACTATATTTGCAGTTTGGTATGTACGTAAAATGTTTCTCAGGAATTCATTTTTTTACCACGACTGGCCTCGAATCTCTCGGACACGATGGGAAACAGTGTGTAGCAAACTAGGTTGTCAAATTAATTTCCTTAGTGTTAATAAAAGACAGCTTAGCCTGACTAAGAGGAACATAATTAACAAAAATCCTTTAATTTACTTGATTGTCCCTTGGATGAACTTGTGATTTACTAATTAACCTGTTGCAGCCAATTTCCCTCAGTCCCAGTAATGAGCAGACTGGTGAATGCAATCAGCCTGACTCTGTCATTATGCGTTATGAATAAATGTATGCATTACCATTATTATCAATTACATGTCCTACAATACATAATCATGCATAAATTATGCATATCTATTCAGCTCCTCACCTATTAGCTCTTTTCTGAATTGCTTATTCAGAAACAGCTCAGCTAACGGGCATGCAGTCCCCAACACTGACCCACATGCACAGACTCACACAATCGACACTAACTGGAGTTTCCCAAATTCTCCAAATGATCTAAACCAAAAAGGCCAACTGAGAAAACATTTGAATAATGTGTGGTCACATGTGGGGGGTTACAATACTTTCAACAGCTAAAGTACGGTGGGACAGACCCTCCTCAGCAAAGAGCTGGAACAGCTTGTCACTTCCTATTCGTTGCATCATGTGGCTCATGGTCTCGGCTACTTCCTCTTTTCACTACGTATCAATACTAGACGACAGTATTTACTTTCCACCACACGCGCCGGGGAGGCTGTATGAAGAACAACTAGTTTGAGGACTTCATGACAATTTACATATTCGATTTATAATGGATGGAGATCTGCTGTCTTTGTCATCTTCCTCCTCGTTATCATCTTCAGCAGCAGAAGGAGAACCAACAGGAGGACAGAAAGATGCTTCACCTAAAAGTGACAGCAGCCTTCCTCAGAGCCAACAGGAACCCAAATCAGCTGAAGAAGAGTTATGGTGAGTGTGTAAGTGTGTGTGAGTGCGTGTGTGTGTATTTCTATGTATGAAATAGAAACAAAAACAGGAAAATATGCGGTAAATCATAATCAACAAATTTCCCACATGTGGGACTAATAAAGGTTATCTTATCTTATCTTATCAATCACAGCCTCAAATCCACTCATGGTAAGATTTATGTAGGCAGGATTGCATAGATGGCTACCTATAGTGTCCAAGGGGTGCTGAGTTTCTGTCCACCTAAAAAAAGTACATAGTTTCAGACCCCGAGGTATACAATAAATTTTAGAAATGCTTTAAAAAGACTCAAAGTCCCATTGTAGATAAAAACCTTTTAAGTGACATGTTTTTAAAGATATTTGTGTAGTTTTACGAGGAAGTTCCCCTCAGCGAGAGGAGGAATAAAGAGTAACTGCGGAGTTTCCCATGAGATCACCAAAAAAACGTAGGCTTCAGTTCACTGTTTCGCAAGACTTGGTTTAAATAGAAATACCACCAAAATGTCATTTCTTGCTTAATGTCAAGAAATCAAACTTTAAAAAAGTATCATTTAAGTGTCTTTTATGTTTCTTACACTTATTTCATGGTACATATAAAACATATGCGTGTGACTAATATTCTTTCTTCTCAATGGGGGGTGGGTACACTTTATCACAGTATTTACCCATATGATGAGTCTTAAAATCAGCCTCGTCCGCCTCCTCCTGTGGGGCTTTAACTGTGGCCACCCCACGCACAAGTAGAGTGATATTTGTCAGGGTTACCAGCAAGAAGGAAAGATTTTTTTCTGTCTACCTCTTTATTATATGCCATGACAGTAAATTACCATATTGCCGCAGAAGGCAGTAGCATTTTGGTGTCCTTCCGAGATGGCATATGATTGAAAACTTAGTGAAACTGGGTCACGGAGTGTGTATCGACTGTCAAAGCTGGAAGAGAAAAAGCTCTGTATCAGGGAGACATGGAGCATAGTTGCTTCAGTGGAATGGCTGAATACACAGTGTGAGCTTGCCAAGACAGGGTTTTTGGCATGGGTGCATTTGTATTTAATGCCGCAGTGGCCACTAAAGTTAGGCTCTGTTTCATTTCATTGTGTTTCTTTACAGCTTCTGCCCTCATACTGCACCTCCCAAACTGCAGAGCAGAGGGTTCATTGTAGCTGATTTCCCTATTAGTGACCATAAACAGTCTGTGCTAAAGCCCTTTGTGCTCTCGTTGAGCCCAGAAATATGACAGATGGCACAGTGTAAAATTAGACAAGCAGTTTTAACCATGGATACACTTGCTTTTTGTATAATAACCGTTTCAAATCTCAGAACAGGCTTTGAGCATTTTAAACGTACCAAAGGAACTTTTGCAGAATTTCCTCAATGTTTTTTGAAAATATCACCTTTTCAGAGAACAAGGGAAAAGTCACTGTTCTGAGTGTTGTTAACAACATTTATTTTGTTATCCAGAGCTTTCAGCAGTTCTTAGAAAAGCATAGTTTTTAAATGAACTTTGGTTACTAAGAGAGGTTATACAGGGCACTGGTGTATTTGGAGGAACTTTTGAGGTTTGTTTTGTCGTTGCTAAGCTAAACTAAAATGTTGCTGGTGCCCAAAATTAGTAACACTGGACATAGAATGAAAATAATAAAAAAAAAAAAAACTTCCCTTAATACTGTTCCTATAATCACGAGAGGACACAGAATGTATAGTCCCATTAGAGAAGCTGATTTACCTGACAGCAAAGTTATCTATTTAAATAAAGGTTAGTAGTAGGTCCAAGTAGGGTTTGAATCTGGTAGCTGGGGCCTTTTTACATGTACTTTGACTTCCTGGTAGCCAGGTTTGGGGGGATTCCCACTGTCCTATCTCTATCAGCCCTGACTACGCCCTCTCAACCTCTGACAGCTGAGATAGGCTTCAGCTAGAGGTGGGCAGATCGAACCAGATAATCATTTTTTGGAAATTAAAAGAAATATACCACAAACATAACACATGTTATTTATGGCCTATAGCAGATTTACAGCTTTAAACAAGAGAAGCCAACCCAAAGTGCTTTAGAGAAAGGTACATTTGCATTCCAGATCACCAAAATCTCCAGAAATCCCAGTTTCTGTCACCCAAATGCAGAACTAGGAAGACAAAGGTAAAGTAAAAATCACAGCTTTACTCAACACTTAAAAAACAACGACTAACTAAACTACTGTAGGGATGTACGCATGGATGTAAACTCATACATCATGAGGGAGAACACGGCAAAGAACAAAGGGAGACAGTACACAGGCAGGAGGCTACCAAAGTAAAACAGGAAACAGCACACTCGATCAAGACCGAGACACATGAATTTCACATAGTACTGGACCACAGATGAATAAACATGAAAGCAGAGGGAAATCAGACAAACACGGGGACATGACCAGGGAGATAAAGGATAACAAAACTCGGAGACAGACGAAAACAAGAGGCACTGATGACAAGGCAGAGACGAAACCAAGGAACAGACTAGACACGAGAAGAGAACTACACTGCTCTCTCCTGCATACGCCGTCTTCACAGGTATCAGTACTGTATCAGCAACACTGGCCCTGTATTTACTTGGTATCAGATTGATACCATGTGTGCAGTATTGCACAGCACTAGCTTCAGCAACCCTGAAATGGATAATGGAAGAAAATGGATGTATGGTTAGATTTATTTATTTTAACAGATTACATCACATTTATATATAAAAAGAGTCTTTGTAGCAATAGTAATAATAGTAATAGCTTCAAAAGTTAACCCATTGTGCCATTTTGCTCATGTTTAGACTTCCATGTTCCTATTTGTGGCTATTGCCTTGCTGCTTTCTGAAATTGTGTAACACAGATTTTCACATAGCAGGACACTGAACATAAGTGGATGAAAGCATGTGTTTGCGGAGGAGTTTAGCCTTGAGGGGAATGAGGTATGATCGCAAATTGTTATTCTTTGTAGTACTTAGCTCTGTGAGGTTGCGGCAGTATTTTTGTGTTAAGAAGCCCTGCGGCCTGCGTTCACTGTTTTGTGTGTTCCTCTGTGAGCAGATACCCCACCTCCCCACCCTCGGGCTTCTTCTCCCCCTTTTGACTGCTTAGCTGTTTCTTTTTAAGTAGAGCTCCTATCAGAGCTGGTAGAAAGGAAGCTAGTTTGACTAATTAGACCTTGCAAATATTTTTCGTTCCTGCGTGCAGTTCAATAGAAAAGTGCATTTTCCAGGGATCATCACCCACGTTGTTTCCATGGGCTATCAATGCGCAGATACATCGGATAGTAAACAAACTTTGATATGCCAGGAGAGACACCGAGAAGAACATCGCTCTGTGTGTGTGCCTGAGTATTTTGAGTACATAATGTGACTATGCATTTGTGTGTGTGTGTGTGTGTGTGTGTGTGTGTGTGCGTGGGTGTGCATAATTTCTCCTATTCGATTCCCTGTAAGTGCACTCTACGGGAGTGGGCGTTCAAAAGTACCTTGACTTTTTTTTAAGTGTACATGTGCTGGCTTATTAATGGAAATCCTTTTCTGATGTTCTTGATCGTGATTTTATTTAAGGCAAACTCCATATCCTCCTCTGGTATGTATGCATGTGTAAACAGCATCTGTGTGTCGGTGTGCAGGGTGCAGGAGGAGAGTCCCGTGGCTGACAGGCTGCTGTCCACAGAGGAGCAGGTGACTCTGATCACAGAGAGTCTGACAGTCACCTCGACTGACCAGGAAAAGCTGCTGCTGCTCAACAAGAACACTGAGCTCCGCAGAGTCAACAAGGAGGTACAGCATCGCATTAAAACCGGCACATATTCTCCACTGGCCCGCATTTTATTGCTGATGTTGGCAATTACATTTAGTTCTCTCTGAAAACCAGAGGAGAACTGTGGGTGTTGTGTGAAAATTGCTGCAAAGCTGTGAAGAACCATCATTTGAGTTCAATTTTTCACTATTATACAACCAGGGCTTCCTGATTTTAATTAGTTGCTTCTTAATAAAAAAAGGAAACCGAGGGGGGGGGGTAACTAATGCATTTAGAGTAAGAATGAAGTGCCCGGCTTCAGTTTGTGATGCCAGCATTGTTGTGACGACAGACAGAGTGACGGCAGTAAAGATTAAATGAACGAAGCTATTGATTACTGCAGTGGAGGCCTTGGCAGTAATGACTGTTGTGTGATGATGATGGTCATGATGATGTGTCACAGCTGATGAAGCTGAACGAGGACTGGGACCAGGTGTACCGCAGTGCCACGCTGCGTCTACAGCACAGGCTGGAGGCTTTGGAGCTGGAGAACAGCGCAATCAAACAGCTAAACAACAGACTGCTCCTCAAAGTTGAACATCAGCAGGTAAATGCAAGCGCTAACACACCACCACCGCACAACTTATTCCGGGCATTTGCTTATATACTGAGAAGTGGGTGTCGTAGACGAGGGGATTCCTAAACAGTTATCTTGCAGCTGTTTTAAATAGCCATCAATAATAGATGTGGTTTGCATGTGTGATATTTATTGCTATATTTGGGATTGCAGAGTGCAAAGGAGTACTATGAGCAAGCATTGATGCAGGAGCTAAAGAAGAACCAAGAGCTGCAAGAATATATCAGGCTGCTGGAGAGCAGGTTGCACCACCCAGGGAGAGACTTCACACCTGCCAAACCGGTATTGCTCCTGTCAGAGGGTCTCACCTGTACCTGATCGCATTGTGCATTTTCTTTTCTTTTTTTCAGTTGTATGATCACAGTGTTGCTCATCTCTTTGTCTTTTTTTTTTCCATCAAAGGGAAGCTTTACTACTGTGATGCGAGGTCCAGCTCTGGGCCCCGGAAGTCATCCTGACCTGTCTTGCGGCTCTGCGCAAAACCCTTCACCCTCCTTTTTCCCAGCTTCTACCAGCCCAGAGGCTGAGTATCAGCGAAAAGGCCAGGCCAGCAGTTCCCCACTGGGAGTGCTGGAAAACTCCAAGCAAGAAGTGCATGATTTAAAAGAGCAGCTGGAGGCACTGAGATGTCAGGTGGGCTGCTCTCTTCTGCACAGCTTCCAGAAATGTGTCTGTTTCTAATGAGAGGAGAGCAGAATTGATGTCGACTCACTGTTGCCAGGGAAAGATTTGCTTAATGCTGAAAGAGACTTCAATGAAGCGGTGAACGGCACCACCAAGTGGTGGCTCTGTGCCGCGCAGACATTCATAATAATAAGCGTCCGCAGATTGCAAAATACGGCTTTAACGATGGCTCGCTGCCGTGTTTTTGTCTTGTGTCAGCAGACTGAGATATATGAGGCAGAATATCAGACAGAGCACAACGACCACAAGCACACGCTGCAGGAGAACCGAAGGCTGAGGAAGAAGAGAGAGGAGATGCGCCAACAGGTGGCACTACTGCAAGAACAGGTAGTGTTTTTGTCTATGCACAAGAGTACACACTCACACAGGCGAACACACCCACATTCATACTTAAATCCCTTAAGCAAAGATTATGAAATCTGCCTGCTGTCTGATCTTGATGCAAACCTTGCAAAATAAATGTGAACAAACAGAAAATTCATGCAGTGACTGGTTATTTCTTTTGGCTTATAGTGTCAAACTAGAGACTTTAATGCCATATTTTTATTTATGTAATATGTTTAAACATATTGTAGTAGGCATATATGATTAATCCACAGCTGCTCCAAATAAAACAATATACGGATTAAACCCCTTTCAGCTTCGACCTGAATGTCTTAAAGATGTGTTTGTCACTGGAATCTCGTGTGTTTTTCTCATCAGCTTAAGATATATGAGGATGACTTCAGACGGGAGCGGTCGGACAAACAGATGCTGCAGAGGCTGCTGTTACAGAAGACGTCTGAAAACAAAAACCCTGTGCTCATCCACCGCTGTAATAATGAGCAGCAGCTGCTAGGGGGCGACAAGAGACCACAAAATGGAGAGAAAAGGAAACAGCACCACCCACTCTGCCCAAAGCACCCAAACAGGGACAAAGAGTCAGTGTGACACTTAGAGGGAAAGTGAGCCATGTTTACAGAAAATGAGTGCCTGGTAACATCAGACTCACTAAATGTGTCAGCAGCTCGCAAAGGATCTTGAGTACTAAGTCTCGTCTGGAAAAGCATCATTAGACAAAGTAAAACTCTTCATGTAATTTTTTAAGCACTTCAGCACAAACATTTGCCAGTGTGTACATAACTCTCACTGCTGCAAGTTTGAAGTTTCCTTATAGTGTAAAAAGAACAACCTTATGAAATATTCCCTTCACAGCCGAAGAGAAACTGAAACAAAAAGAACAGAAAGAGAAGTAGGAGACCAGAACTGAGCGAGAAGATGAGTGAACCAAAAACTGTAGTTTGAGCTAAACAAACACCTCACAGATCCTCAGCTGACAGCTTCACTGTTTGTGCACGAATGTGCTGGTTTGTGAAAGGAAGTAGCTACACACTGCTGTACATATGACATCATCACTTAGAACAAACATAACCAGACAAGTTTCAGAAGAAGGTTCTTTCTTTTATTTTTAAGGAATATTTTGAAACTATAATGACGTTGTTACTTAACATGACAGTTTTCAGCTGTGCTAACTCGATCACTTACCCACATAACTTAACTTATAACTTAATAATTTAGCAATGCGGGACTGATATTGATTGAAGATGTGCCTGTATAGATAGTTTAGTCAAAATCAGGCATGATTTATGAGTGTAGTTCATCACACTTGCATCGTTTCATGTTTCCGATAAAGTGTAAATATGCTTTTATTAGGATTAACATATTTAAGTTGCCTTTTGAATCTTTCACTTCATTGCAACACTTTTGTGTAACCCTTTTTTGTAAAAGGTCATTTAATATCTATAATGTTTAATTAAAGATACAGATAATTAATATCACTAACAATTATATTTTTATTAGTTTGTGTAATTAAAGATTGTTTAAATGGCATATATTGCATATACCATGGTGTTGGTGGTTTTGTAGTACATTCATGCTTTTACTGATCAATGATCATTCCTGACATCTCACAAACACAGACAAGGTGTTATGTTATGTTATTAACATAAGGTTTAGCGTCATACTAGTCATCATAATAATGCTTATATATGCATTACAAATTATTTATTCTCATATGGATTCATAAATGACAGTTGTGGCTTTATTAAGCTATCTGTGTAATGTTCATAGATACTAATTGGCTAATATACAAAGCAGTTATTAGCCAATTAGTAAACATTATAAAATAAAGCATGATTTGATGATCAATTTTAATACATGTATTCGCATTGATTCAGAATACCAACACAGCTGTGCCGTTTATGTGGTTCTTCAGTGGACGCATTGCACTGAACCATCAAACCTATTTGCAATTTCAGAAAGTTGTACAAGGAAGGTTGAGTGGGTTTTTTTCCTCAGAGACTAATATCTTTGCAGTCTGAAGGAAGCAGTTAGGGCTGCTGCACGTTTTTACTGCTAAGTGGTCTTTGTCGTCACTGAAACCAGAAAGAGTGACTGGAGGGGTTTTCCTAAACAAGATTTTCCACTGCATACTTCTAGGTTTTTGTAACAGACTGTGAAAGGTTGCCTGTCTTTGTATTAAAGGGTCGTTACGTTTATTTGGTCACTGATTAATTGATTTTCACAGATATATTTAAAAGGACAATTGCTTGTCAGCACCAAAGTGATAGAAGGAAGTCACTGTGGAAGCTGCTCTTTGTCACACTGAAACCGATCTGCATCCTCAAACTGATGGGTTGCTTCTACGCTGCTCATTTATCCCTGTTTTCCAGTTTATGAATAAAATATATTGTTATTAATTTTCCCACAAGACCTTGACTCTAGTTTGGTCTTTTTATCAGCTTTTATCATTGAAATATAATGACACAAGTTATGGTTATGGTTACAAGGTTATGCTTTTATTGCATTGGCACTGTGTTTGGGATTTTTTGCCATGGTGAATAATTAAGCCGTTCGCAACCAGGTGCTTTCCAGATGGTGTTTTACGGTGGATCAAAAGAGGTACTGACATCAGTGACATCAATCTGGACAAGAGCCCAAACACCAGTGGCTGAAATGCAGCCCCAAACCATGACGGAGCCTTCACCGTGTGTTACAGATTGCTGTAGAAACTCACTGTTTTACGTCTATCTTGACCTGCTGCCCACAGATGTGCTCAGAAGTTTACATATGGGCATAGCTGTCAGTCCAGTTCTTATATAATTCGGGATATCTTACCCTTTTCTCCCTCTTTCCCTTCATTATGAATAGCTTCTTGACAGCCACCCTTCACAGAGACCATTTCTGATGAGGCTTCAGTGAAGAGCAGATGGTTTAACTGAAGCACCAGATGTATTCTTGAAATCTTGTCTCAAGTCTTTCATGGATTTTTACCTATTGTTTAAGGACGGAAGAGGCTTGGTTCAAAACTTTTACACAGCACCACTGATATAATAGGAAAGGACAGAGAAAAAAAAAACATCTTCACACCATCATTATGCACAATATGAAGTATGTCTTTTTCTCATCGGTTCCTCATTCTGTAAATTCCTGACAAGGAAAAGAACGTGTTGAACAAAAGGTTGTGATGAGCGAGGGCATTTAGTCAATGAATTCATGTTGCTTGAAAGGTTTTTGTTTCACAACATGTCACACCTTTAAGATACAATTTCTTTTTCCTGATGGTAAAATCGTTCACTGCTCTGGTATTCACTGACCTCAAAAGGATGGAATGTGACAATCATTGTGTGGCACAATTTCAAATCAAAGACGTTTTACGATGACACAGAGAGGAGGTCCTTGGAAGGTGGGTTGTACACTATATAAATCTGTGCAGAAGAAGCATTGGAGAGCATCCAGGATCCAGACTTGGAGAGACACCAACTGAAGACTGAACAGTGCACAGGTATGATGCTATTAACACATTTACTCCAGCAGTTATGGTTAATAATAACAGCTGTATTCCCTGTGGTATATTCTCCACATTTCACCAAGTTATACATTTCTTATTTTACTTGTTTTTTACTGTGGTTTTGCCACTCCAGAAAAATAAGTCAGTTTTGCATCTCTGTAGGGTGTTTTCTTAATTTGCTTTAGTCCACAGAACAAACATTGTTTATATGGTTTATTTTCACCCATCATGGCAAGTGGGCAGGACTTTTTTATTTTTATGTCGCTGAAAACACGAAGGAAAACAGGAACTGTTTTGCCTTACCAACTTTTCTATATCTTCTCTACCCCTTAAATACCACCTCAACAAACAGCTTCTACATTATAAATTCTGAAAAAGCCTTAGCCATCGTCTGTGAGACAAGTCCTGCAGAGATGACTGCATCCACAGAGAAACTGCGAGAGAGCTACAACCAGCAGGGCTTCCTCTCGGCACTGCCTGTGCTGAATGAGACAGAGCTGAGGGAAGCAAGAGATGCCTTTTCTAAGTTGGAGATGGAATTTGGTAAGTAGCACACAGCGATGAAGAGAGATGGGTAACAAGACAATGCTAGTGCAGAAAAGACAATTGAGGAAAAAGTAGCAACAGATCATTAATGAGTTGAATTTATCTTCTAAAAGTACGAATATGCATAAAAGTAATTAAAACTAGTAGACTAAATTTTGCCCTGTTTTTTCTAAGGAAAGCTGTGTTATGTTTATACATATATCCAGGTACTGAGTACACGCAGTACAGCCTTCACAATGCTCACCTCCAGTATCCATGGGTGATGAACCTGACCAAGCACCCTCACATCCTGCAAGTGATCACAGCCGTCTTGGGCCCAGATGTGATCCTGCTGGATTCCCGCTTCATCTGCAAATACCCAGCATCGGTCAAACCAGCCAAGGAGGAAACAATTGCCCAAAGCAATGGGCACGCTGAAAAAGATGAACTTCCATACGTGGCCTGGCATCAGGACATGAGGTAAATTTTACTCAACAGACAAAGAAGCAAACACGTGTTTGTTTTGCTTTCCTATGCCTAACTCTAATTGTTTGTTCAGGTACTGGGGTATCACTGGCGGCCCTGTTCTTTCTGTGTGGCTTGCTTTGGATGACTCACTAAAAGAAAACGGTGCCCTGCGGGTTATCCCAGGTATTTCATCTGCTTTAGTGTTTTGTTTTTCTTTTATACAACTTGCTATAAAATGTGCTTTCTAAAATCAGCAGTCTTACTCACAGTGTTGAGCTTTGCCTCCTGTAGGCAGCCACTGCTCAGGCATGTTGCCCCATCGCCAAGCCCTCCGCCCTGGGAACATGCTGTCAGTGAACCAGGAGATCCCAGAGGAGCTGGTGCAGGTGGAGGAAGCTGTGTTATGCCCTCTGTTAGCTGGACAGATGTCTGTGAGTTCGGTTTTATTCTTAACTTAAAAGGCTGTAAATGAGGATAAAGACATTGTATGTTGAATGAATGACCTTTTGTTTCTTTAACATATAGATTCATGATGGACTCCTTGTGCATGCAAGTGATGCCAACACATCACAAAAGAGACGCTGTGGGTTTGTGATCCGTTACGTTCCCACCTGTGCTTACCCCACAGAGGTAAGGCCGACGTTTTTCCCTGTTTTGAAAGAATCAGAGTTTCCTCTTGTATTTTTCTGTTTTACTGTTTTACTTACTTATTTTACTTCTGTTTCTTAGGATCCTGATCGTCCAAGGAAGTTTCATGCAACAAAGTTGGTCAGCGGGACAGACGCATTCAATCATTTCTCCAACAAAAGCACATGAATATAAGTATTCATGTGACTACAGTCCAATTTGCAAGACCAGGAGTTAATATATGTTACAGAAATATAATGTGTTGTTAAAGCAAATGTTTAAGTTTTATAATCAAATCAAATTTCAGATTATTGATATATTTATCACATTTCTGTCATTTTTTGACATAACTTGCTGTGTTTAAATTCCTTTAACTCTATATCATGAATTAATTAAATAATTGAATGTGTAGAAACTGTTTTGTGCCATAAACTGGTTTGTAAAATTTGAAATAAATGACAAATTGCATACAAACAAAAGAGACTCACGGCGATTTTGCTTTCCAACTAAAATCTTTATATCATATTAATGACGAAAAATCTACAATATGCCAAAAGCCAATTCAGGATGTTTGCTTGATGTAACAGATTTGTTATAAATTTAGACCGAGTTCAACAGTAAAAACTTTTCTTTCTTTTTTTTTTACACAAAGCGCTGTTACATTCTTATTTAATGCACAAAGCAGAGTGAAGTCTACTTTGTGAAATTAAACTTATTGACTCTTAAATTTTTGCATTTTCCTGTTCAATTCTCATCATAAACAGAGATGCTCATACAGCTGTTATTATAAACAATACTGTGCAAAATGCTTGAGCCAACCCTCGGTTCTGTATATTTTCCTAGCAAAATGGCTAATAGGTAATACAAATGGAATTATATTTTATATTCTAACAAGCTTGAAATTAAATATTTGGTGTGATCACCTTTATTCTTCAAAACAGCCTGAACTCTTGTAGGCAGATTTCTTGTAAATTCTTTAAGTAGTTTTCAGGAATAGCTATCTAGATTTCTTGAAGGACACTCAAAGTTCTTCTCTGAATGTCGGCTGCCTTTTTGTTCCATTCTCTGTCATTATAATCCCACACTGCTTGTTGAGGTCTGGACTCTGGGGAGGCCAATCCATGGCTGATGATAGTGTTGCATAGGGCTTTTCCGGGTACCCTTTTACAGCTGTGTATTTGGGATCATTTTCATACTGAAAAATGAATCAGTGTTTTGCAAGATCTCCAGCACTACTGGCTGAAATGCAACCCAAACCATGACAGAGCCTCCACCGTGTTTTACAGATGGCTGTAGACTCTCACTGTTGTACCTCTTTCATAACCTCCTCTGTACACATTACTGACAGCTTTATCCAAAACTTCAAATTTGGACTCATCACTGCACCTGTAGTGGTTGATGCTCAGTCCAGTTCTTGTGTAATCTGCAGAAGTGCAGTGTTGTTTGTGAGCAGGTACGGTATGTTTGAGTTTTAATTTGTTTCAAACATTATTTCACTACAGTAGTTCACATTATTAACTACAACTGTGCATAAAGTGGTCTATCTGACCATCTTCGTACAATACACCTCACTCCTCCCTGCATGAATCTTTCTTTTTTATTCGTTCCTGTGGGGTGGAACTCAGCTCTCTCTAAGTCTGACACTGTCTCTCTCTTCTTGGTGAATTCTGTTTTGTAGCGCTTTTCACAGAGTTAATGTCAGAGTTAGAGAAATATCTGACGCAGGTCCAGCGCAGGATTCATCCAGAATAGTTTTGTTACAAACCATACCACCGTGAAATCTGTGTAACAGTGTAACCGTTGACCTGACCAGTATTTACCGTCAGCTCCTGACCCTTCCTCATATCGAAGTTACGAAGCTTCGGGCAGAGCTGGAAGTACCCGCGCAAGGATACCGATGGTTACACTACACCCTCTTGCAGTAAAGGGAGGGTATGTTGTGACACAATACAACACAATGACACAATAAACCAGCAGATCGAGTTATTTCTCTGACTCATCTGCACAACGTGATCACTACATTTTTCAATTTTCAATTTCAATTTTTTCCCTAATGTGGTCCAAATTTATATATATATATATATATATATTATATATATATATATATATATATATATATATATATATATATATATAAAACACTACCTCTTAAGTTACAAAGTTTATTTGTATTGTGTTCAGAAAATGGGGACGGCAGAAGGAAGTTTTATTTTAAGCACCGGTTTGCTCGAACCACACAAAGGCAAATGTGTCCAACAGTCATAGGCATAAGAAACTGGAATTCTCTCAC